AGCACTCTCCTTGGCAGAGAATGCCAGTCTTGTTCTCACTAACGGACTCTGAAGGGAGCTACATGTCCAAATTGGGTAAGATCCTCACAGAAAGACTTGCCAGGCTATCCTCCTGGAAATTGGTGCATGATTTAACAACGCAGCAGGCTTTGGCAAAAACAACAACAACAAAAAAACCCCAAAACCCAGTTAGTCAGAACATAAAATTGGGGGACAGCCATCCTCTGCTAGTCATCAGGTTTGGGAGGACACATCGCTGAGAGACCGGGGAGGTGCTAGAGGGCAACTTCCCCCGGACCGCAGCTGCCATTCAGATGTCAGCGAACACAGTGGGCAGGGGACACAGCAAAGCTTTGCACACCAGCTGTTCACAATGGTGCTTCTCTTGGGGCCTGTGCAGGTCACTGCGCTGGTTCTGACTCACAGCGACCCCAGGGGACAAAGCAGAACTGCTTTTGTGGGTTGTCTCTGAGGCTAGAAATCTTTCCTTGAGTAAAAAGCCCCGTTTTCCTTCTCAGGAGCAGCTGGTGGGTCTCAGATCACTGACCCTCTGTCATTAGCAGCCTGGTGTGCCACTAGAGCTCCTTGCCAACCCCTACAGCCCCAATGTCCTCACCTCTGAAATAGGGATAGGAGGGTGAACGTGGTTATGATCGAATGAAATAAAGCAGTGAAGTTTAGCACAAAGACTAACAGCATCAACAAAACACTGTGCATGTGTTAATACGCCCAACATACCTAGAATGGTGCTGACACATACCAGGCTCATGAGTTATTGTGTACTTGGTATTGCAATACCGAGAATCTGTGCTTGCACAGAAAGAAGAGAAAATGTAAATGCTCATTTCATGGATTCATTCAGAAGAAAAAAAAATTTTTAAAGCTTCTTAAAATCATATCCCTTCTTTTATTTAATACTCCATATCAAAAGAACTCTATAATGATCACTTATATTGTAGGCAGTGGAAGAGTTTAAAGGGTGTTCCTAATTACCATCAGACTATTACATAGCACTGAACTACAGAGGTGTGGGACTGGTGGTTATAGTTAGGACCTACTCATTAGTAGAATGGCCTGGGGGAAGTAGACTACTTAATATCCTCTGGACTTCAGCTTTCTCAGAGATAATGTATGTCCTTTTCCTACTTCAAAAGGGTTTGCAAAATTCAAATGACAATGTACATTCAAAGCTATCTTTTAAAGTATAGGTCTTTAAACAATAATAATTATGACACCCTCTTGCATTGTGTCTGGTTCCTGGATTGGCTTATTCTATCAAGAAAGTTGAAAAAGAGAAAACTGAAAAGAGGAAGCCCTTCAACAAGGTGCACTGACCCGGTGGCTGCATCTATGGGCTCAAACAAGGCCACTTGTGAGGATGGCACAGGACTAGCAGTGTGTCCTTCTGTCGTACAAGGGTCGCTATGGGTTGGAACCGACCCAACGGCACCTAACAACAGCATCTGCATGAAAGTTTAAGCTAGATTCATAAACGACATCGGCCTCCGGCCCCAAGCCTTCAGTCCTGGCCACCCTCTTCACTTCTGCCAATGGCTGATACAAAGGGCAAAGAGCCCGGAGGTGATTCGTTTGGAGGAAATTAGTGACTAGCCCAGCTGCCAGCTGTCACCCCTCCCAGCGCTAAACTGTCCCCAAGTGTCGTCACGAGCATCTGGGCCTTCTAGGAACCATCTAAGGCACATGTGATGTCATATTTACTGAATGAAAAGCCAATTTAACAGATTGTTTCATCTTTCAGTAACCCACCCATCCATCCATCCATCCATCCATCCATCCATCCATCCATCCATCCATCCACCCACCCATCCATCCATCCACCCACCCACCCATCCATCCATCCATCCATCCATCCATCCATCCATCATTCCTGTATTTTGAAATATGATGTTTACCATTAAGGAAACTTAGGCAGCTAGTGAAGAGTCTGGAGGCCTGGGCTTCCCAGGTTCATATTTGGACTCCACACTTTTAAAGTCGTTCAACTGTGTAGTTGAGCTTCAACGCTAAAGCACTTGGTTTGTGGAAGGCTGCAGTGTATAGCGGGAGCTCTTTACATAAAATTAGCTTCAGTTTTGGTTCCTACCATTAACCAGCAATGTGGCAGCAGCTTTCCCTTCGGCAGAGTGTGTTTGAAAGCAGATCACAACCCCCCTGGCCAGACCAGGGCAGGGCAGTCTGGCCCTCAGGACATGCCGGGGCGTGTTCGTAATGGAGGCTGGGATGCCAGGGCCTGCATGGCTCTGAGCCATCCCCTGATCATCAAGTAGTCAGGTGGTCAAAGGGCCTCAGGACCAATGATGAGACCTTTGCTAGGCCGCAACGGCGTGTGCGTCCCAGCCATGCCCACGCTTCTCTAGTGCTACCTGCCTGCAACAGCGATGAACTGGCCACTCAGGATCTTGCACAGACTTCCACTGACTGGAATCACCTACAAATAGTCACGTGGCTGTGACTCCTTTGGATACCCTAATGGCGGCATGCTGATGGTCCCCTCATTTGGATGATTTGTCTTTGGCCGCTTAAGGCTTCATAAAAGGACTCTATAAGATGTTGAAATTTGGGGTCTTTTTTTCACTTACAGAACGCTCTGCGCCCAAATGCCCATCTGTCCGATGAAGACTGTGCTTCCATAGAGCCGTAGGGCTGGGCACATAGACAGTGTTCATGAAAGGAATGAATGTCAGCATGAGTATTTCTTATTAATCATACTAGTGAACAGCAATAACTGTCAACAAGTAACAACAGCAAGTAATGTCGAGCCACAACTAACTGAAAACCTCAGGTTGTTTAAAACTGTTAGTGAAGAAGAGGAGAGAAAGGAATTCCCTCTTTAGAAGGAAGCAATAAATGAAAAAGGGCTAGTGTCATGATAACGAATTATAAAGAAAAAGAAATCTTTAACAATTTTAGAATGATACCAAGTATTTTAAACAGTACATATCCCAGCTCATAATCCAAGTCATAAAGCATTTGGCATAATCTTTCAATTTCACATGAAGGAGCTTCTTATACAATCGACGGAATCCGTGTGATTAGGCAATGGTAAACGCACACTCCTGAGAACACACTGTGATGTTTTCCTTTACCAAATAGTTTTATTAGCCTTATTGCATGTGAAATTAAATTACTCAAGCAGAAAAGCCTACACTTCATGTCGAATCCATTTCCAGAGTGACCTTCTAGGCCTGATGAGCACGGCTCGGCCGACGCCGCCCGTGTGGCTTCAGAAGAACTCCCTTGGACCAACATCACAGCTTTCTCTCCCCTCATTTTTTGAAACACTTGTTTTCAGCTTTTGGGGTTTTTTTTTAAAGGAAGAAACAAAGCTTTTAAAATTCTAGAATTATAGGTCAAGATATGACAAAATAATAATTTATAAATTATCAAGGGCTCATGAGGGAGGGGGGGTCAGGGAGGGAGGGAAAAAATGAGGACCTGATGCCAGGGGCTTAAGTGGGGAGCAAATGTTTTGAGAATGATGAGGGCAATGAATGTACAAATGTGCTTTACACAGTTGATGTGTGTATGGATTGTGATAAGAGTTGTATGAGCCCCTAATAAAACGATTAAAAAAATAAAATTCCAGAATTATTAGAAAAATCTCGAACAATTAGAAACAACTGAAACCAGTACCTTAGTAGTCTTTCCTCTTTCGCTCAAGGGTTAAATGAAAGCAAGCTGTAATTTACTTACTCTTGCGCAGTAATTAGTACACATTTTATATTAATCAAGTGTTTGACGATAATAATACTCAAATTTAAAGGCTTTCTTTTAAGGAGGCATGATTTCTGTATCAAGCACCTGGGGGATGTCATTCTGGCTTAAGGACAATTTGGAGGAGAGGCCCTGCTTTCTCCACTCCTTTAAGAAAGAAATCATCTTTCTGAATTGGGGACAAGAGGCTCCTGGAAAGTCAGAAAACATGCTCCCATCATCCTAAGGCCAAGAGAGAGGAGTGAGTTTCCTTGACATGACTACATGGGAAGAAAGAGGATTTTCCAGAGGCAGAAAGCAGCTGAGGCCACTGATTGCATTTTGTTTCACTTTCTCTGGGTTGAATGGGCCGTGTACTGTTCAGTGGGAATCCACGAGGAACCACTTATTTCTATTTCAATGGGAGCACTTCAGAACTTCAGTTTGAGTTCACATTTCTCTCTCTTGCCATTTACAAAATCGACTATGGAGAACTCACTTTCCAGTGTTTGCCTGGGGAAGCAGTTGAGTGCCTGAGTGATCAGAGGGTTCTATGGTTATCAATTACTTTGCAAGGCAAACACGCATCTCAGATTAGGGTATCCATTGGGGAGAGAAGCATACAAGGAGCACTTCTGAACCCTCTAGCTCACACATTGCTCTGTGAACTTGGTGGGGACTCTGAATCAGTTACAAGTTAGGAAGACTTGCCTTAATACGATTTCCCCTCAAGTACAAAAACCTGGACTCAGTCAAAATGTTGAATGAAAACACAAAAATTTTCATACATCGTTAAAGGAAAAGAGTACGGCCTAAATTTATCATAAATTATTTAGAAATTCTATACAAGCCTACGACTGTATTAATGAAAGTTCCTGAAAACCTAATTAGGTAAAAGGGAAAACTCTATTTCCATGCTTTCTGAGGACAGTGACTAGCACCTTCGGGGTGTTATGTCAACGCAGTGCCCTCTGTATCGGGTGACACACACTAAATACTTAGAAACGAGAGGAACGGCTGGGTACATCCAGTATGAGAGGTTACCAGAGAAACGGAAACCGCAGTTGCTTTATTCCACAGAATACTCAGCTACCATTTGCCCCACTCTGTTCTAATTCTGGCTATCCGGGGGACTCCTGGATTTTTTAAAATGTGAGTTTCTGCTATGAAACGTTTTGGAGCAAGAAAGCATAACCATTTCTCATGGGGGCTACCTTTAACTGCTGCCTCCCCTTAAAATGCAAAACGGGCGAAGGCTACGTAAAAATCATTGGAGAAGCACATACACGGGCAAAGAAGGTTCTAGAAGTTCTGTCCACCGGGCGTGACGCGGTGCCTAATGTCAAACTTCTGCCTGCGGCTTTCTCTGCTTCCAGACGCCCAGGCCACGGGGCGAGAATGCGGCCGCGCGCTCGCTCGTTCGCTGCACTGAGCGAGAGGGGAGCCGCA